GAGATCAATTTATTGTTAATTTACAGAGAGGAGAGACAGAGAGAAAGATCTTGCATCTGCTGGATAAGTGACTGCAAAAAAATGGAGCTAAGCTGATCTGAAGCCAGGAGATTGTTCCAGGTCTCACAGGGTCCCAAGGATTTGGGCCGTCCTCGACTGCTTTCCCAGGCCACAAGCAGGGAGCTGGATGGGAAATGGAGCAGCTGGAACACAAACCAGTGCCCATACGCCTTTGGTCAAGAATGAAATTAATGCATAAGATGCAACAACCTGACAGTGAAGTAGGAAAAGACCAATTTTTTTGATTGTAAGGTGAAGAGAGATGCACATGACATTTTTAGGAAGATGAGTTCTAAGAAAGCCATGGAAAGTATCATATATCTAACATCAGATATCTAACATCTATATATATATCTATATATATATATCTAACATCAGATGTTTCTCACCTATACCATGAAAACTGTTAAAATTTCCTTATTAACTTTTATAAAATTGTACACACACTTCTTGGGCAGCACTGTTTATACTCGGAGAAAAGACTGAATATCCATGAGTTTATACTAATATAAATGAGTAACTCATAAATAATTGGGAAGAAGTGACAAATCTATACACACAATTCATGTAATGCTCTTGTTCTAACGTGTGGAGTTTCATCATTGGTGCTGCTTAAATTGAATGAGAACAGTATAAAAAGGCTAGGAAAATCACTTCAAGTAGGGAAGGAAGACAAACAATACACTGGCCAGGGGAGCAACGCTATCATGGGTAATAACTTACTTGTTTCATGAACATCTTTATAGCATGACATGAACTCATCAAAGGCCATGCCACTTTGGTAACTTCCTTTAGAAACCCATAACACAGTCTAACCACATGAAAACAACAGACAGACCTAGCTGAGGGATATTCTACAACATCAGTACTTCTCAGGGCAGGTGCTGTGGTGCAGCACACTAATCCTCCACCTGAAGGTAGCAGCCTCACATACGGGGGGCCGGTTCCAGTAATGGCTCTTCTGCTTCCAATGCAGCTCACTACTTGTGGCCTGGGAAAGCAACAGAGGATGGGTCAAGTCCTTGATCCTCTATAACTACATGGGAGAACTGGAGGAGGCTCCTGGCTCCCAGTCTCGAATCAGCCCAGCTCTGGCTATTTGGAGAGTTAACCAACCAGGAGACGAAAGAACTCCTTTCTTTGGATCTCTTGCTCTCCCTCTGTAAAATCTATCTTTCAAGTGAAAAAAAATCTTTCTTCTTTTTTTTTTTTTTTATAAATACCAGTACTTCTCAACACTGTCAATGTCATGAAAAACAAGAAAAGTCTTAAAAACTGTTGAAGTCAAGAGGAGTTTAAGGAGATAGGCTGCCCAGTGCTGTGTCATCCTGGACAGAATACTGGAAGAGAAAAGGCATCCAAGGAGAATAATGAAATCTGAAGGGGGGGAGTTTCAGTAACCATAATGTACAATGTGGGTTCCATTGTCACGACAAATATACCATAATAATTTGAAATGATAACAAGAGGGGAAAGAGGATAAAGACTATAGGGGAACTTTCTGTTCTATCATCATAGCTCTTTATAAATAGAATACTGTAAAAATTTTACATATTTCTTAAATTTTAAAAAGATGATGAACATTCTGCTATGTTGACTGTAACACAGTTACTGTGCATGAATCAACACATGATTTCATTTCTCACACACACACACCTATGCGCTCAACCATATGGCATCAAGAATCATTTTTCTGAAACTCAAAAATACTTCATCATTCAAGCCACTGTCATATGAATGGAGCTAGACCTACTGCAACAGTTTCAGATTTCCACAATAACATATATGTCATGCCCTCAGTATGAATCCTCAAAAGTTGGTGTCTACCAAACCACATTTCTCAACAGCTTCAAAAGACAAAATATCTTCCGAACACCCATCCAATAATTTGCATTTCATGCAATTATTCTTAATGACACGATTAATAAGACAATGCATTAGCCTTTGCAGACTGATGAGAGCAGTGTTCACTTATTGATCAATTGTTACCAAGGGAAGGGGGCGGGGCTGAGATTGACATGGACAGGGATGAGGTTATTGCCTCGTTAGCCGCGCTTTCCTTTCAGATGATAATTACAAAATCTTCAAGAGTTTTAAATGACACGTTTGTCATATTGTTTCAATTTACCATTTACTGTGAGAAAGAATAAAAAGTGTGCTATGAACAGTTATTTTAAAAATATTGCGGACTTCTAGAATTATTAGCAATATTTGTGCTTTTGCAAATATTTTAAAAGTTTGGCTAATCAAAATTTAATTAACCAGAATAACAATGCAGTCAGAATTTCCCCTTGAAAGAAAGATAGCAAAAACAAAACAAAAACAAACAAATCCCCCAAACCCTACAACTTCCAGAACATATTTTAGGATCAGAGCAAAATTCAGTACAATTACTTATTTTTTAAAGACTTATTTTACTTTTTGTTGGAAAGGCAAATATACAGAGAGGAGATATGGAGAGAAATATCTTCCTTTTACTTCTAAAGTGGCTACAAGGCTGGAGCTGAGCTGATCTGAAGCCAGGAGCCAAGAGCCTTCTCCAGGACTCCCACACAAGGCCGAGGGACATCCTTGATTGCTTTCCCAGGCCACCAGCAGGGAGCTGGATGGAGAAGTAGAGTAGTTGGGACATGGACCAATGCCTATATAGGATCCTGGGGATACAAGGTGAGGATTTAGCTACTAGGCTATCACACTGGGCCCCCAAATTATTTTTATATTATATATCTGCAATGCATGACAATAACTTATATTTAGGAAAAGGGTGATTATTCTTGATAATAAGGAAAAGTTCCCTGTGGAGTTCTCAGTTAAGGCAAAAGAGTCAATACACTGTGGGAGTATTTTGCATAGTGAGGTATTTAATATGAACAAAATACTGCAATGGGGAAACCCACAATTAAGGAGATGGTGGTTTATTTACACTACTATCTTTGTGTAGTTAGTGTATTAGAAAGAGAATTGTAACAGTATCCTCCCCAGAACATGGCTATCTAAAAATGTTTTTAAAAATTGTAATGACAAATCAAAATTATACATACATATGTGCTACCACAGGGTATTTTGATATACGTATACACTGTATAATGCCCAGAGTAAATAGAATTATAGCCTCAAGCATTTAACATCTCTATGACAAAAACATTCAAACCCCATTCTTACAGTTTTTTCCCAAATAACAGAAATATACAGTGCATTAACTATAGTCGCTCTATAGTAGAAATCCAGATACTTGTTCTTATCTAGCTATAGCACAGCACCTATTTGAAAAAAATATTTATGTGCTGTTTGAAAGTCGGAGTAACAGAGAGGGAGATAGAGGGGAGGCAGGGAGAGAACAAGAGTGAGAAACAGAAGTTTCACATGCCGGGTCGCTCCCCAAATGGTAGGCTGAGGCTGGACAAGGTCAAAGCCAGCAGCCCATGTGGGCTGCACAGGGCCAGCAGCTTGAACCACCTTCCACTTTTTTCTCCAGGCACATTAGCAGGACGCTGAGTCAGAAGTAGAGCAGCCAGGACTCAAACCAGCACTCAGATTCAGTATACCAGCATCACAAGCAACACTTAGCCCATTGTGTTACAACACTGGCTCCCAGTACCTCCTAATGAACCTTCCTCCATTCCTCCCTGACACTGTTTCCTCCCCAGCCCCTGTAACCAACAGTATGCCTTTAACTTCCATGACACATACGAGTGAGATCATGCATTTCTTTTTCTTTCTGTGTTTTTGCCTGGCTTATTTCACCTCCCACAAGGACCTCCAGTTCTAAACAGGTACTTGTTATATTGCTGCTTTAGCAGTTCATTTAACACGTACTTCGTATTTGACTGCAGTAGAGCGTGTGTGCTTATACAACTCTAACAGTCGGCTCCCCAGAACACATTCAGTTTGCCAAGCCTCAGGTTGCTAGGCATTTGACCTATATTACTAACCATCTAATGCAACTCTGTGGAGTACGGATCGTTCTCATTTAACAAGAAGTAAACTGGAGGACTCAAGAAGTTAGAGCACAGATGCAAAGTCCCTCAGCCTGTGAGGGGCCATTTACAAACCCTGACGGCTGCCTCAAATGCCACGACTTTCCCACTCTGCCAACCTTACAGCCGAATTATACTTTTTTTAAAAAGTCCTGCATTTTGCTTATTTTAATTATACTTGAAAGAGACAGAGAGAGATAGAAAGACAGATAGAGAGAGCGATAGAAAGAGCGAGCGGTTCCATAAATGTTTACTCCTCAAAAGCCCACAATAGCCAGGTGAACAAGACTAAAGCTGGGAGTCTGGAACACCGTCCAGGAGCACACGGGTGGCTGGAGCACGAGTCTAGCTGCCTCCCAGGATACACGTCAGCAGGAAGCTGGATCAGAAGCAGAGAAGGAACTCAGCAGTCACTGAGAGGAGATGCAGCTGTTCTAAGGTGTGACTCGACCTCCACGCCCGATTCCTGCTCCACTTTTGCGATGTTTTCTTATAATTATTGAAACTATTAAAATACACATTTATCACTAACCAGGCAATTTAAAGTTGTTTAACAATCTTAGGCTTTGTTTTTCCCCTGGGTAAAACGCAGTTCCCTGTTGATTTCTAGTATTTCTTTCAGTTTTAAAATAACACTAATGTTAATGTACATGTTAATGGCTAAAGAAAATGTAAAGAAGCATCTTACAATATCTTTGTTAAAAGGCAAAATATGGTTTTACTAATTCTGCAATAAGACTCCAGCTACAGATGGGCATATCAATGTTTTTTGCAAATCTCTCTAGTCCTATTAACTCCTTAGTGATTTTCGTTTTCAATGTTATTTCTTAAAACTTACACATGAGGAAATTGCATACTCCTCTTGGCACAACAAATATACATATACTTAATTTGTTTCCTCCTAAGAAATTAATTACTTGTGTTAGTATATAAATAATACAAAGGAATTAATTTTTCTGGATCTGAAAATAATGAAAATATTTATTTCACATTTATTAAATACAATAGTTGCTACAGATATAAGAAAATTTATCACATGGTAGACATAAATATAAATAAAATATGTAATTTTTTAGACAAGTTAACACAGTTAGATGAATTAATCTCAAGTTTACATTTAGTTGTAAGAGTACCTCAGCACAGATATATGAAAGAGATGTACCTTCAAAAAACTCCAGAAAATGTTCACATTTGTGTCAAAATGATATTTCCCAAATTGATACTTTTGAAAAACATAGAAAGATCTAATTTAATCACCGACTTCACATGGCATGAAGCACACCTTTGTCAACAGAAATGTTCCATTTTTAAATAACAGCATTTTTAGGAAGATCATACCACAGTTATTAACAAACATGCGTAACACATTAGTACTTGATAATGGTTATACCTTTATACACAGTGTTTAGTTTTGTATGGTTTTTCTATGTCTTAAAAAAATAGACTTAAAATTTGGCACAGAATTAACCAGCCATACTGCTACGGCTCTCGATGAATGTGACTCGAATGTTCCACAGCATTGGTAACTTACGCAATTACACCTTCCCTTCACAATTTGCCAACCAGTGGCCGGTCTCTTTTGTTGTAATTGTAATAAATTAGAGATACTCAAGAATTAAAAGTTATATCTAGATATTTTGCCTACACTCTAAATGGAAATGCATTGATTTCAGTTTTTCTAGCAGTAAAACATTTCCATCTGTAATGTGGCCAACACATTTCTAAATAAGGGTGTTATCACCAATAATATGTATCATCATAAGATTTTTTTAGAAGGCAGACAAGTCGAAAAGGAAATGTAGAACTCTTCATAAACTGGGAACATATGTGGTAAGGAGAGCAAATGCCAACCAAGATGAAAGCAGGGAAAGTTCTTTGGAAAGCTGGTCAGCGAGCACGCTTGGAACAAGCTTTAAGAGGCAGAGAACAAAGGTGGGGATACAGTAATCTTCCGGGGTGGCAAAGGAAGGCCACTGGTGGGAGGAAAAAAGAATGGACCGCTCAGGAAGCAGTGTCCATGGCAGTTTTAGCATTCATTTTTTAAAATTTGATTTTCTTAATTTCAGAGGTAGAGAAGCTGGTTTAATTCCTAAATGCCCACAAGAGACTGCGGCTGGGTCTGTGCAAGGCCAAGTGTCAGACAATCCAGCAATCCTGTGTGGCAGGAACACAGTCACATGACCCAGCACTGCGGCCTCCCAGAAAGCCAGAGTCAAGGGCAGATTTGGGAACTGAACCTAGACACGCCGATATCAGACCTGGGCATCTTTAGAACTAGGTCAAATACCCTTCTGAGTTACAGCATTTTTGTATTAAACTGCCACTGATGTTTTAGAAAAGTTTTAAATTTCCATATCAATAGGTCTACAATTAGCCTGGAGCAATTAAGCCAACTGGCAATCTTTTTAATTCACGCATAAGCACAGTAGAATAAAGGGGATAAAATTCATGTTTTCTGCAAATCAGAGAAGAGAAATCATCCACTCATTGCCCCAGTTTTGATTCACAGTTGTTTATCAAGGTGTTAGAGTTTGGAAGACTGGCTAAAGGAACCTCCTTGGTGACCTCATGTCAGCACTTATTACAAGGCAGGAAAAAAGCTCAATGTTTATACATATGTACTCTATTCTAAAAAATTAGAGCAATAAAAACAATGCTATTTTCTTTGCTTTATGATCCTTGCTTTTCTGAGGGTCTTGAAACAATGAAATGACAATCACCAAACAGGTTAAATGCAACAGGCAAACTTTTGTTTTTAAAACTATTAAGGTAGAAACAGACATAAACATTATGAATCACAGAGCACTGAATTTTCAAGAGTGAAATCATACCAAAACCGTGACAAGTTTTCGCTGACGTCATAGGAGAGCAAGTGTTCGGGAAGGTCGCTGATGGTGCCCTGCACTGCCAGCACGTGTGGGGCCAAGGTGAAGGGCACGTCGCTCAGGAGCTCGGTCATTAGCGAGCTGCTCTCCAGGCTCTGGCCTGCCTTATTTTCCGTGTCAGGGCCTGCCACAGTCTCACTGGATGAGTTTTCTTTGTTGGTCTAAAAATACATATACATTTAAAACACTGAGGGCATTTGAAACTGGGAGGCTTAGTAACAGCAAACGTGGCATTAAGACATCAAAATAATTGAGAAATGTGGCATATTCAAGGTAGTACAAAAAGTTCATGGAATATAGAATTTAAAAAGTTGACATAGGTGCCAAAAAAAAAACCCCTTAGAAACTGTTGATACAAGTCTTCTTCATAAAGTTGATTAAAATATGCATTATGGAAAACTAGGCATTTAATTCTACTTTCCAAGACCTTTTCAAAGTATCTACACATATATAATTCCAAGAATTATGCGCAGCTATTTATTTTACTTGAGAAACCTATCATCCAAATCTCCTCTAGGTTTTTAACATGGCCCCTAACTAGTCAAATTCAGACTGACTCTCACATCTCCTTCCATACAAACTGGCATTCTTATTATTTTCCATCCCAAATAATGCCTGCAAAATCCATGTCTGCTTTTTCCAAATCCCACATATACCTTCTGATGATTGCCCAGATTCCCTGGGAAATATTCGCCACCATAGTCCAAATCAGTCTTGCTTTCTTTGGTTGCTTACAGTGCACAGTGTCTGTGAAGCCACTTGGCATTTCCTATATGTGTTCTTCCATGCATTTGTTATAGTCCTGATATGATTGTACCATCCTTGAGGGCCATTAATCTAACTGACCTATCTTTATAATTTACAATTTGGATATTTTACTGCTTGCCCCTAATACAGATTTAAGAATCTGTGTTCTAGTAGTGCCTAATCAGCTCACCTTCCACTTCTGTCACAAAGTTACACAAATAAAAGCATGTTTTTTCCCTGCTTTAAAGCTGGTATCTTTGAAGCTTTAGCTTATAAACAGATGTGTGTAGAGATGTTCATAGCTGCCTTCACCACAGCCCCAAACTGCAAATAACTAACAGGTCCATCAACAGAATGGATAATACACTGACGTCCATTCACAGCAATGAAAATTACAGACTTACCATGATAAGTGGCTGAAACCTAACATAAGCCAGGATGAGCCAAAGAAATCACTCTTGCCCATGTCCCAATCCAGGCAGAACGAGGACCACCACCCTCTTTGCGACCAGATGCAGACCCGTCTCCACCTCCAGCCTTACTGGTCACCCCTTGCTCACTGCTCTCAGATTTCCTTCTGCTCAGACCCTCTGCTTCCTAAGCCATCTGCCCAGGGGGCTGCTCTTCCAAAACACACAGGACGGTTTCTCTTTCCTTTTCCCAGGAATCATCCTCTCAGTGAGATCTCTGCTGAATGCTTTGCCTAAAACGGGGACCTGCGCCCTGCACTCCCTGTCTCCCTGTTGTGGCTTCTGCTTCTGCAGGGCACTGAGTACTATGTCACATGTCGCCTAACATGGTCCGCCTCTACTGTTCCCAAATGCCTAGGTCAGTGCCAACTATTCGATACATATGTGTTGAGGGAATGAAAATGAGTAAAATTTGTGCCCAATGAAACTTATATTATTTGTTTGAAAACCAGAATGACAGAGAGCAAGACCTTCCATCCATTGCTTTGCTCCTAAAGTGGCTACAATAAGTCAGGGCCAAGTCAGGCCAAAGTTGGGAACCCAGAAGTCCATCGCTGGACTCTCAGATGGGTGTGTTAAATTGCCTGCCACCCATGAAAAGAAAACATCAGCTGGGTGTAAAAAGATGCACAGAGGCTTTTATTGAGATCCTTTCTCGGGCTCCTTCTCCCCGCAGCGAGGAAGAAGAGGGGTGTGGAGAAAAGGCAGACAGGGGAACGTGTGGGAGGTTTTAACATCCCTTCCGACACGGAAGCTGGCACAGTCTCTGTTTAGGTCCTAATTAGGGAAGGATCAGCCTAGATTCATCATTGGTCGGCTGGAGTCTTGCTGGCCCAGTGACGTGTCTGGCTCCTACCTCCCCTTCCAGTTCTGGGCTGAGGTCTGGGTGACATGTCAGGTCTGAAGTAAGCCCAGCCCCTCTCCTGTACCTGCGGCAGCCCTCAGGTGGCAGGACCTCAAGAATTTGGGCTTTCATCTGCTACCTTCTGAGGCATGTGAGCAGGAACCCAGACTGAAAGCAGAGCAGCTGTTTAAAGATCCTTGTACTCTGTGTAACGTCCTCAAAGAACCCTCTGTTGCTGTGTTGACAGTATAGAGTTTTGGGGGACAGGTAGTGAAGGAAACAGCAAAATGGCTGGAAATATGAGGACTGTGGTGTGTGTTAGAGTTGTGATGGTGACAGTGAAATGAAGGGACTGAAACTTGACAGCCTTTGAGGATAAAACCAACAGGATTTGCTGATAGAATGACTGGTGGCAGTTCAGAGTGAGAATATATTTAAGTTAGAAGTTAGAGTTGTAGGCATGCGCAGTTAGAAGGATGGAGCCATCATGGTCAGGGCAGTGTGGGAGGAGGAGGTCTGAGCAGGATGGAACGTGGCATGTTTGTAGTATCTCAGCAACATCAAGTAGATGTGTGGTTAGGCAGGGGTGATTTATGTCTGGAGAGGATGAGATCGGATGGGCAAAGCAGGGAGAAACCTGAGAGCAGACCGCATTTTCTAGGTGCTGCGCTTTTGGAAGGAGATAAAGGCTTGGAATTCTAAGGCTGTGATGTCAAGAGACACTTCTTCTGAATTGTGTTTGTCTTTAATTTTAAGTTGGGAGAAGAAATGGTGCTTGTTAAGCTTGAGAAGCTCATAAGAAATTCTATAGAGAAGGACCCATTCTTTTGCAATTTTTTTTTTTTAAATTTTAGATGATGTTTACATAGTTGATGAAGGTGGGAAGGATCAAGGGTCAGGGAAAAGTGGGTGTGATCATTGTTTCCAAACTGTCTATTTCTTCTTCCTGTTTCTGGGGGGAGGCAAGGGAAAAGGGGAGAAGCCTTATTCGGCCTTCCAACCGCCTCAAACTCAGGGATGGGGACCAGCCATCCCATATCAACCCAGGAGGACCTATTCTTTTTACAAAGCATCACCAACTCTTACAACATGCTCTAGACATATTTAATGAATAATCTCAAATTAACAAAGTTACCGAGCATGTTTACCTACAGTGGAACTAACAGCCAGGTACAATCTTATGACTACAACTACAACAAAGACATTTCCATGCTGTTATGACAAGGCCTATAATAAAGGTCCCTGTGTTCAGAGGACAGACCCTATCTACTGAAACCTAACAGGGACGTACAGTGTGAAGTGTTGGTGCACAGAGCACAGGCACAGGAGTAACACTGCCACTATCCCAGCCTCTTCTAAGGGTTCTACTATGCATTGCTTCATACAGAGAAACTGAGCGGGGGCAACATTTGCATGTACTCATAAAGCCTCATTACACATACACCAAGGCATTTACTACACAGGAATGCACAACAGGGTGGCTAAGAGCACTGATTGTAGAGCCACACTTCTCAGGTGCAAATCCCAGGCCTCTGGCTTATTAATAAGCAAACAGCCTTGAGTTATTTAACTTCTCTGGGCCTCAGTGTCCTCAGCTATAGTATGAGATCAATAATAGCACTATTTGATGAAATCTGCATGAGGATCAACTGATTTTGCATTAAAATAAGTGCATTATTAAAAACTTCAGGAATATCAAATCCCACAATTAAAAAAAAATTAAAAACCCTCTTGTCTCTTTAGGATTGGCATTCACTGGTGGTTCACGCAATCTTAGCCACAAATAGTCTTGAGAATTTGTAGTTCGTTATTAGAAAACATGACAATTACCAAAATAACATATCTTGGCTTAATTTGGATGGGAAAAAAAGGCTCTGACAGGTTTTGCCTATGGAATAAAGGGTTGATAAAATCATTAAGGTGACATGTCCTACAGATGGACTGCAAGGATGGAAAGGCAACTGTAATTTAAGCTCTACCTTCCCCTGGAAATGAATATGAGTAAAATCTTGGGAAAAACGCCATGCACAGTGAAACATGACTGTGAGTTGATAAGTGCTGAAATGGAAACCCACGAAGGTAGGAAGGAGTGTACTACAGCATTTCTTTACCTAAGTTTGAAAATGTCCCATAATTAGGTTTTCTTTTTAAAAATAATTTTAATTTAAAATGACCATGAACAAAATGTCCCAGCAAAAGCGTCCTAGAATGATCTGAATTTCAGCTGTGCCGTGTTACTCCAGCATCTCGTAACAGTTGGCTGAAGTGCAGTGATACAGTCTCCAAGGAGGCTGCCTGCCCCCTTGGCAGCAGGGTGAGTGCCATGGTGCAGCTGCTGTTGGCATGCTGAGAGTTGGTAGGGGAGAAATTATAAGGCAAAACAAGACTAAGTCACAAAGAAAATGTGAGTCAAAATTCAAGGACCCCACACCCACTAAACCTGATTGCTAAGGCTTCAGCTTGGCAGCCAATGGAAGCAGAGGTGCGGGGCTGAGGGCTGAAACAGGTGCACAAAACAGCCTTTTCTCTCAGACACAAAGTCTTGCAATTTTTTCATTTGCATAATAAAATGGGTCTTTAACAGGAAGAATTAGTATGTTAACCACAATGGAGCAAGAAGAAAAGAATCTATTAACCTACTGGTTAATAGCCAAATTTTGGAAAATTAGTGCAAATATTATATTCATAAAGCATGTTCATTATTTTTGTGATTAGCACTGTTCACAGAGGTGCTGCTCTAATCATGCCTGTAAGTCTCCTCCACATAATCTTGCTTTAATATTTTTTCAAAACAGCACTTCCCCATCACATGGTCTAGATATGAGTATACCATATAGGGATTCTTAATCTAATTAATAATCTTTCTTAATCTACATCATATAGCAACGTTTACAATGAGATGTTTTCTTGTTTGTGTAAAAATCATTTCTTGCTAATTAGATAGCCCATTAAAAATGAACTAGCTAGATTTATTCGCAGTTCTATACATTTTACTATCTTTCTTTTAAATTATCTCAAGAGGCTTATGGGTGCTTTTACTCCTTTTTCACAGCGGACTATAACGATTCATGAGGTTCAATCTGTGAAATCTACTAACAGC